TTCCAGGCTCTTTTCACTGTGACATTGGGAATAAAAAAACCACACATAATTGTCCTGCAATGATTTCTACATTGAGAAAGATTGTAAGTAGGATTGTGGAATTTTTGGTGATTAACTTTTAGTAGCTCTCAGAAAAACAATTTAATGTCATATACATATGTTATCTCATACATCCTGGCCACAGTTCACTCTCCCTCCACTCCAATCAGTTTCTCCCCTCTTCCTCTCTCCCCTAGATCCACTCATCCTCTGTTTCCCTTCAGAAAAGTGTAGGCTTCCCAGAGGTAGCAACAGAACATGGCATAACAAGTTACAATAAGATCAGGAACATATATCAAGGCTGGATGAGGCTACCCACTAGGAGTAAAATGGTCCCAAAGGCAAGCAAAAGAGTCAGACTCTTCTGGGGACTCCCACTATTAGGAGTACCACAAGAACACCAAGCTACACAACCATAACACTTTCTTTTACACTTTCCTCTTTGTCTTCCCCTTTATATAACTACTACAATTCCAAAGGGTAACAAAACTCGAATAGTGACCTTTGGGTCTCTGACATATATAAGAAATCCTATCCATTTAATTAATAAAACTAGCCAAACCATTATGTCTTCCAGGCTCTTTTCACTGTGACATTGGGAATAAAAAAACCACACATGCAGAGAACCTAGCAGAGACCCATGCAGGCTTTGTGATTGCCACTTCAGTCTGTGAGCCCCTTTGAGCCCTGCTTAGTTTATTCTGTGGGTTGTGTTCTTGTAGTGTCCACAACCCCTCTGGTTCCTACACCCCATCCTCTCCTTTTTCTGCATGGTTCCCTGAGCTCCACCTAATGTCTGACTGTGGGTTTCTACATCTGCTCCCATCAGTTGCTGAATGAAGTCTCTCTGATGACCGTTGGGCTAGACTCCAACCCATAAGGATAGCAGAGCACTGTGGTGGTTTCAATATGCTTGGCCCAGGGAGTGGCACTATTAGGAGGTGTGGCCTTGTTGTAGTAGATGTAATCTTGGTGGAGGAAGTGTGTCACTGTGGGAGTGGGCAAGGAGACCATCCTCATAATCACCTGGGAGCCAGTCTTCTCCTGTTTGCCGTCGGAATAAGATGTTGAACTCTCAGCTCCTCCTGCACCATGGCTACCTACATGCTACCATGCTCCCACATTGATTATAATGGACTGAACTTCTGAACCTGTAAGCAGCCCCAATTAAATGCTGTTCTTATAAGAGTTGCCTTGGCCCGGGTGGGTGGGGGATGGGGTAAGGGGATAACATATGAAATGTAAATAAAATATCCAATAAAAAAAGAACAAACAAACAAACAAAAAACAAACAAACAAACAAACAAAAGAGTTGCCTTGGTCCTGGTGTCTGTTCACAGCAGTAAAACCCTAACTAAGACAAATATCATTAGTCATCATTGACTTTATGGCCCATTATGTTTGGTTCTAGCTGAGGTCTCTAGGCTATCCAACCTCTGTTAATTCTAATGATTTGACTATTATAAAATCCTGGGGTAGAGTTTCCCAAAAGATCAACAACTAACACTTCACGTTCTACTTGCATGTGTATTAGTTCCTTCCTGTATCACTGTGACAAAAAAACACCTGACAAAAACAACTTTTGGCTCACTTCCTGGAGGTACAGCTGGGAAAGCATGGCAGAGCACTAAGTCATGGTGGTGAGAGCTTGAAGCTTGTTCATGTCTTGAGATTTTAGGCAGCAGTGAGCTCAGGGAGCATACAACCAGGCTATAATCCTCAAAGACCTATCACCACTGACCCCTCTTTTATCTGTGAAACCTTCCATCCTGTAAGTTTCACAGAATCCCAAAATATGCCACATACTAGGTACCAACTGTTCAAATACATGAGCCCATGGAAGGACATTTCACATTTAAACCATAATGGCACATAACCCTCGAACTTTAATTAACATGCCAGGGATTCCTTGATTCATTGCTGAAATTCCATGGCATGTCTCCTCACATGGTAAATAAGAGTGGTGAATGTATATCGCACAGCTATCCAGGCCACATTCCTTCAGGACTCTTTTGTCTTAGAAGTTGTCATTGATTACTTCTTTAAACCTTATCTTGAGATATGGCCTGACTCAGCAGTCCTTTACGACTAATATTTTGTGACAAATATGAAAGGTCATCCTGAGGAATGGAAAGTCAATCAAGTGACAGTGATCAGGATCCTACAAAAGGAAGTGTCACATGGGGCTTTGTAAGCTGTACTCCGCAAAAGTCACAAGCAAAAAATTCAAGTCAACGTTGATACCTGATCAGCATCAATGAGCAAATCCTTCAATGTTGCCTTTCCAGGACATTCCTCCAGAAGTGCCTTTTGTTGTTGTTGCTATTGGAACTTCTACCCTAAGTGGGGACATTTTTCAGTATTCTGTATGCCTAGATAGGTGCCTTGTTTTGAATCACACAAAGGTCTGGTATCCCCTGGCAAGTAGATCAGCCATCAACAATTTACATCATGAAGTTTTTCAATACCATCTTGCACTTGAAGACAAGACCCATCGACACAATGCAGCAATCTTTTCGATGTCTTGCCTCAGTTTCTGTTGTCATGGGCTCAAATGTTTCCAGCTTATTAATACTTGATTTTTGTCAATAACACCAGATTTAGTTTCTAATCTATGCTTTTATGCAACAACTGTTTTCTGAACAAAACCATTAGGCAAATGAATTTTAAAAATGGAACACGATCTAACATAATTCAGTCTGAAGCTTCATTTTACAGGGAAAAAAACATAAGAAATAGCAACAATGTTTCTA